GAGCCCCTCCTACAGCTGAGTTCCCACCACTCCTAAGAGGGACAGGCACTTGAGACAAAGCAAAGAATGACCATTCAGAGACAGAGTGGTACACAAGTTGGTAGAAGGCTGGAGGCAAGTGATCCAGAAGCACAGGAAACAGGACCATCCTCACCTATTGAAATCTTTCTATAGCTTCGTCATTAGCCTTGGGAACAGTAAGAGCTGCTGGTATTCACTGAGGGCTAGGCACGTGTTGGCCCTGCACTGAGTGTCTGAAACACATGGTCTCAGGAATCCATCACTCCAGAGGTGGACCTGATGTTGCACAGGGCCACAGGTGAGGAAGGGCAGGCCCAGAGTGGCAGAGGCAGCCCCACCCAGGTCTGCACCAGGGGCTCTTCAAGAGCCACTGGATCAGATGCTCTGGTGGTGCAGCCCAGCAACCTGAGTTTAACAAGCCTTTCTCCCTCAAGTTCAGGAACCAACTGCTCTAATTCCCAATGCTGCTAACTGGGAAAAAGAGACACTTCTACACCTCTTGTCTTTTCGGGTCATTCCTAGCCCAACTGATCAGGTCCCCCAACCCAGGAGGTCCTTACTCCAAATCTTCTGCGTTGTCCACTAAGCCCCAACCCCATTCTACATCTCATCATCTTCTAGGATCTGTCCTTGAAGTCATATCCTCCCCAAAGCCCCCGGGAACACCTAAAGCTTGAAATAACTTCACACCCCAGTCACAATTATGCCAGGCAACTCACGTGGCACTTGCTGGCACACAGTGCCTTCCAGGTACTGCTCATAGCTCTCCACTTGACTGCGTGTTTCTGGAAGCCCGAGTCTGTTCCTTATACATCTATGTCCTGACCCTGCATAGCACAAGGCATAGAGAGGCATCAGCATAGGTTTGCTAACTATCAGAAGAGGGGAGATGCCTTGGGAAAGCAGACTCCCGTTCTCATCCTGCCTTCCTATATCTAGGGCTCAGCTTCCTTATCTGTGAAATGCACCAGTATTCTAGTTTCTTCTTCACTGGATAAACCCGACAGAGCCTCACGCCAGACTCTTCTCAAATGTTAGAGTCACACAGGAAGACTAAAGAGGTCCCTGCCTTCACCAGCATATTCTAGGAAAAGAGAAAGACAATAAATAAAATGATTAGATGCCAGCTCATGAAGTTCTGTACATATACTTTCTCATTTGCAAATAAACAAACTTATTTCTGAGCTTGATGAAATCATAAAAAAAATAGTAATGTGACAGAAAGTGAAAAAAAGGGGTACTTTGCATAGAAAGGTCAGGGAAGGCCCCTCTGAGGAGGTGACATTTGAGCTGAGACTTGACAGATAAGGAAAACCAGCCATGGGAAGAGCTGGGGAAAGGTGTTCCAGGCAGAGGGAACGGTAGGTGTGCAGGCTCAGGGTGAGAACAAGCTGGGCATGCTGGAGTATCCCTCCAGGCTGGCGTGGTGTGGCTAAGCCACACCTAGTGCAGGAGGAAAATAATAACCAATGGAGGGAGGCAGACAAACAGCCTCCTACAATGCTGCCACGCTCAAATCAGGTCGGCCTGACCCAACCAGGACATCCGGGCCCCAAGTCACAGGCAGTACTGGGGGTAAGGGTATGAGTCAGACCCCACAGCTTCCTGGGGCCTCAAAAGACCTGGTATAGGTATCCAGGGGCAGGCACCAACCCTCAGCCATGCTATACCCACGCCCACAGGACACCCATGGGTTGGGGACTACATGGTCACGAAAGTATATAGGACACAGGACACTCCCACCAATAGCTTCCAAAGGGGCATGATCAAATGCTTCCACGAAGGGCTAGTCCCTGATCACATTATTTGAACACAGCCAGAACAATAGCCTCAGCCAGTGGAAAGCGAAGAAGGTTCAGGTATAAGGCTTATTAGTCTTGGGCAAGTCTTAACCTTTTTGGGCCTTAGTTTCTTTATCTGAAAATGAGATTACCACAAGATTGTAATACTGAGCCAGGTGTGTTGGTGCACACCTGTAATCCTAGAGGTTTGGGAGGCTGAGGCAGGAAGATTACAAGTTCAAGGCCAGCCTCAGCAAGACCCTAAGCAACTCAGCGAGACCCTGTCTCTAAATAAAAAAAGGGCTGGGTATGTGGCTCAGTTAAGCATCCCTGGGTTCAATCCCCAGTGTGTCGCCCACTCCTGTCCCCCAAAAAGAAACACTGACTGTAAAGCACTGTGCCTAGCACATGGAAGTATTCATAAATGTAAGTTATTAATAGTACCATTATTGGTTTCTTTGCTGCCTCAGTTTGCTCTGCTGCAAAAGGAATATTAATACAGTGTCACTGGGTTGCTGAATTTGATCTAATAAATATTCCACCCTCCTAATACAATATCCTCTGTCAAGGTAAAAAAAAAAGTTCTGAGAACCTCTTTTTTTGACCTCTCATCAGGCACAAAAATCCCCTCTATCACACCCCCATTATTTGGAAAATGAGTAAGAGCTGATTAAATCCTATTTTGACGTTACTGTGAAATAAAAATGATGCATTAGGAATCCACACATTTCCCTGCACTGTCATTCTGTAAGGGGGTGTGGATGGATGTTGCTGATTCTTTTGCATCATCCACAAAAGTCCCTCCCTCCCCTTATCAAAACACAATTTCTCACTTGGTCACACAAAATTCCCACCCATTCTTTGTATATAAAATTAATAAATGTAATGAAGTAACGCAATTACTTTCATATACATTCATTCTCCCTTTCTCTCTCTCTCGCTCGCTCTCTCACACACACACACACACACACACAAACACACACACGTGTGCGTGAGCACACAAATGTCCTACAGTGCAAAAGTCAACCAACAGTAAAAACTCCACCCCTGAAGTCACTCCCAGTAACTAACAACATCTACCCTGCACATGCAAACAAACGTCTCCAACAGTGTGCAAAATATGTTCCAACAAAAACAGTACAGCAGGGCCTCTGGAGCAAGGTGCCTGAGTTCAAATCCTCACTTTGCAACTCACTAGTTGTGTGAATCTAATCTCCTAGATTTCCTAAACTGCAGAAGAGGGCAAATAATACTCATGTTTAGGATGGATATAATAATTAAATGAAATGAACACGTAAAGCATTTAGATCAACATTTGGAAAGCGCCCAATAAGTCATCTTCCTCATCGTTACATGCGTGTACACATTACTTCCAGAGCTATACAAAACTACTCACGCCGCACAGTTGTCTCTGAAAGAACCCCGGCTCCGCAGGAGCGCCGGTACCCCGAGGGTCTGCACGCCGAGCACAACGCCCCCACGCCCCGCCCAGGCTGGCTCCCCCTCGCAGTGCGCACGCGCGCCCCCCCACCACGCTCCGCTCGGGGCCCCTGCAGTATAGCGGCCCGAGGAGATGCCTCCCGACCTCGCGCACCCGACCGGGGTGTGGGGGCTCAAGCCGCCTCCGCGGCCTGACGACCGAGGTTCTGAACGGCCTCAGTCCCGGCCTCCCTTCTCCCTCCATCCCCGCTGGGCCCGGCCGGCTTACTTAAAGTCGAGGGGTCGGGGGGAAGGACAGAGCCCCGCTCACCGCGCCCAGTCCCGAGTCCAGGTTCGGGACAAAGGCCCCGGCTAGGTTCCGTCCTGTGGCACTTCTCCGGCTCCCGGGTAGGGCAGGGGGACGCGGCTGAGGACGAGGAAGTGCTGGGGGACAACTTGCCCCACCCCTGGGAAAGTCCCCGGTGATCGACAGGCCGATCGACCAATCGCGCGGCGCGCTCCTGATCGGCCCGCGGCCGCCGGGGGAGGAACGGAGCGAGGTAAACAGCTGCCGCCGGAGTTCTACCCGAGCTGAGAGCCGGCGTAGAGGCTGCCGGTTATCCCGGTAGCCCCCTGGCTGCCTTCCCGCGGGCAGCGTCGGCCCCGGCCCCGGCGCCCCGCCCCGCGCTGTGCAGCCCCTCCACGGCGCAGCCCTTAGCGGCATTCCCCGCGCCGGAAGACTGGGGCGGAGGCTTGGGACCACTTCATATGTGGGAATTTCAGAGCGGCGAGCCTCAGAGACCACCCAACCCCTTTCTTATACCGTGGGGGGACCGAGGCCAGAGTGAGGAGGGGACTTGCCAAAAGGCACGTAAGCTTTTGGAGCGAAGCCAAGCTGGAGCTCAGGGCCGCCGAGTTCCGCTGAATTCCTAGATTCGGTGAGGCGATAGAAATTTCCAGCCAAGAGGACCTTTAAAGAATCCTATTGTTAGGTCTAAACTACCCCCCTCCCGCGCGCATTTACTGCTCCAGGGATTGTAAACACTGCAAAGCATTATCTTATTCGCTCAATCGCCTTAGTAAGTGGGAGTTTTAACCCCTCCTTCCTTACTTTAACCAGAAATAGTCTACTAGGCACAGAGGTTTGATGACCTTACTGAGGGGCCAAATCAAGGTTCAAACCCAGGTGGGCTAATCCAGAGGCCTCCCTCTATCCTGTCTACCTATATGATAGATAATTCCAACAGCCTGTGGTATTTCCCAGGCCTGTAAGGAACAGTAACTTGCTTTAAGAATAGAAATATTTTTCTAAAGCCCATCATTTTATTTGGGGAAAAAAAATTATAAATTTTTATTCCAAAGAATGAAAAAGCCTTGAAATAAAGGACAGCTATTTATGGGCTGGGGTTGTAGTTCAGAGGTAGGGCACTTGCCTAGCATGAAGCACTGGGTTCAATTCCCAGCACCGAAAAAAAGTTTCATTGACAACTAAAAAAATATATTTTTAAAAAAGGACAGCTGTATATTATTGGGTAATATAGTTTTATGAAAACCCCATTGCAAAAGACCCATTCCACTGAATCTGTTGAAAACTTTATCATTCTCAGGGGCTCATCTTCAGAAAGGACTATGGGAAAGCATTTAGGGGACTGTTTCATACATGGCCCATTTCATGGAAGGGGAGACTTGTCAATCAACTATGACTCTGAACACACAGACACTGACCAAATATGTGTCCAGTCCAAGAATTCTGTTTTCAGGCCTTGTGACATCTGGGTGTTATTAAATTTTCAAAACAATATTTTTTCTAGTTCACTTTAATTATGAAAAGAAGTACACATATACCTTGAATCTGAAGGGAAGGAAAGATACAGAAACCAAGCAAGGCCACACTTGATGTCATCATCAGAGAAAGATGCACGGGGACTAGGAGCCTTGGACCTGGGTCACTTGGCTGTAGCGATGCATCATGTTCATGCGTTTTGGGCCCAGCAAATGCATTTATGTTTTCTCTTTGTTCCTTCCCTATGCTTCCCAATTAATCTCTTCTTACAATGCTGCCTTCCTAATCCCAGCCCAAGTCTCCACCTGCACACTCATCCCACAAACACTGAAATTTACTTAAAAATGAAGGGTCTTCAATTATTTGTATTTTTTCCCGTACTATGTCAGTTATTTTTATGAAATATCTGATAGATAGTTGGCAAAAACATTTCATTTCCCAAAGTGCCAAATGAATGCTGGGTAGATTTGTTGGAGAATGCTCAGGCTTGATATGAAAATATTTCCAGTCATCTTTTTGTCTGATTTCCTAGTTTAGGATACTTTTCTTTCTTTTTCCTTTTTCTTTTTTTTTTTGGGGGGGGTACTGGGTCTTTAAGCCAGGGGCTATTTACCACTGAGCCACATCCCCAGCCCATTTTTTTAAAAAGTTGCTTAGGGTCTTGCCAAGTTGCTGAGGCTAGTCTCAAACTTGCAATCCTCCTGTCTCTACCTCCCATGTGGCTGGGACTACAGGTATGTGCCACCATGCCCTGTAGGGATACTTGGTCTTAAAAGTTATACTATGGAAAAACTTACCTGTTCAAAGTTATGGCTGACCCCATTTGGAATCTTTGCAAGTCTTGTTTTGACCTCACATGATAGGGGCTCTGGAGACCATTGCTCATAATCTCCTATTTATGGTCTTTATATAGAACAGGGCTTGCTCAAAGCCACACATTGTAAGTGACACCGCCAGGATTGGAACTTGGGGCCTTGGCTCCTAGTCCTATAGTCCTGTGTGCTTTGTCTGCTGCCCTGTGTTGTCTTCACAATGTCATGATTCATTTCGCTTTCTCCCAGAATCTCAATACTTTTATGAACAAAGGCTATGGTTCTAACGAATGGGATTCCAACTCCTACTCAGCTACTTGCTACCTGGGTGATCTCTAAGACTCATGTTCCTTTCTGAAAAATGGGGATAATTGTATCTTCTTTTGGATGTATTATAAGGATGAGTGAAATAACGCCAAAAAAAAAAAAAAAAAAAGCCTAAGACTCAACCCACAGTAGGCATTTAAGAAATGGTAGTGGCCATAGATGTGGGTTGCATGCATTGAGTATAATTTCAGTTTTCAACCCAGCAATATAGTCTCACTGGGTTCCATTCTCCCATCCACGTCCCTGAAGGGACCCTAGACTCTGGCGCATAGAGAGGATGGGAGACAGGCCCCCAAGCCTCACCACCCCTTTGGCCTGAAGGGGATTTCCAAGCCAGGAAGCTGGGCCTGAGGCTGGGAGCTGAGTGACTCAGACAGGTGGCAACCTCTTGCTCTTCCAGAGTGACAACAAGCACATGCACAAAGCCCCACCTGGGAGGAGAACCAAACTGCCTGTGTTTTGTTTTGTTTGTTTTTAAGCAGGCAGTTTCCTAATCTTTCTACCACTCCCTGCTCCTCTACCACCTCAGCCAGAATAGCTCCAAATATATATTTGAAGAAAATAAGAAGCATGCAAAAAAATTCGCCTATAACAGATTTAATTCTAAACCAAGTGCCAGAAGCAGGGTGGAGGCTGCATCATAAAAGTTTTATAAACCAGGCACCATGGTGCATGCCTGTAATCCCAGTGGCTCAGGAGGCTGAGGTAGGAGGATCACAAATTTGAGAACAGACTCAGCAATTTAGTGAGGTCCTAAAGCAACTTAATGAGAACTTGTCTTAAAATAAAAAAGGACGGGCTGGGGATGTGGCTCAGGTGGTAGCGCACTTGCCTGGCATGTGTGCGGCCCGGGTTCAATCCTCAGCACTACATACAAAGATGGTGTGTCTGCTGAAAACTAAAAAATAAATATTAAAAAAAATTCTTTCTCTCTCTCTTTCTTTAAAAAAAAAATAAAAAATAAAAAAGGACTGGGGATGTAGCTCAGTGGTAAAGTGCTTCTGGGATCAATCTCCTGTAACCGCCCCCATACACAAAAAAACATATATATATTTTTTTGTAACACGGAGTATTTGCTGTGTGCTAGGCTGACATTTGTACATAGTTTATCTCCCAACCAGTCTACAAGGTGGATACTGATATTCCCATTTCACAGACGAGACAGGAGCTTTGAGGTATTAAATGACTCACCCAAGATCTTATAGAGTAGCAATTACCTGGAGGACAAAGAGCTAGGCTGTTAAACTCTTACCACTCTGAGGTATTATACTGCAGAGTCTTGCCAGCTGTTAAGATACGCAACAGAATGCCAGCCTTGAAAGGGTGTTTAGAAATGATCAAGCCCAAAATCCTACTCAAAATAAATGATTGAATTTGTAGAGATACTAAACAAACAAACAAACAAACAAAAAAACCCAAAGGAAATGACCAACCTAGCTTTACATTTGTAGGGCCACACTGAGGGCCAGAAACAGGGCAAGGACTTGTAGGAGGTCTTGGAGTTTTTGTTTGTTTTTTGTTTTATGGTACTGAGAATTGAACCCAGGGCCTCACACGTGGGAGGCAAGTGCCCTACTACTGAGCTACACTCCCAGATATTTTTTTTTAAGCAAGAAAGAAGTGGGTTTATTACAAAAGTGACAGAGATAGACTTCTCTGAAGAAAAGGGGCCCCAAGAGCTGGGAATCCCACTCCCAGACCTTTTAAAAATTTTTAGTTTGAAACAGGATCTCACTAAGTTGCCCAGGCTGGTCTTGAACTTACGATCTTCCTGCTTCAGCCTCCAGAGTAGCTGGATTCTCAGGTGTGTACCACTGTGTCAGGCTCATGTGGAGTTTATGATTAACACTTGGGACCAGAACTCAAGACTTTGGCAATTGCCACACATCCCACTGATGGGAAATGGAGCTTCAAAGTCAAACAAGTGTGTGCTTCATTCCATGAGTGAATGAGTGAATCAGGGCCAAGATGAGTGGTGAATGGCACTTGGGGGTGGGGGTGGGGAGGCAGCGGCTAATGAACCTGGAAAGGAGCAGTCCTGGGTCCCTTTCTTAGATCCATAGCCTGAAGCAATCTCGGGAATGTAAAACCCTACAGTGGATTCTAGGTACTTTTTGGTGTTGGGTGTGGTATGTATATCAAAGAGCGATTTGGGTGATAGCTAAGTGAGATAGTGCGCGTTAAGCACATGTACTGACTGAAATGCTACCAGCTAATCAGAGCATTTTTTCAAATAAGAAATAAATGAGCACAGTCTATAGTCTCAGATTCCCTCCCTTACCTAAGAAGGCATTTTAAAATTCTTCCTATCTATCTTCATGAGGGGATGGGAAGATGTCTTGAACTTTCACATCCACCCAGCACCTCAAGGCAGATGAAACTTTTTATATCCACAACTTGTGCCTTTTCCGAGATATGTCACATGGTAGGGCATGGGCTCTGGAGTCAGACACACTTGGGTTTAAAGCTCAGCTCTGCTATTTATGTTCTGTCCCTTAAGTTTCCTTATCAATGCCATGAAGGCTGTAAGAGTGACCAGTGCATGGGACCAGTGATAATTAATTGCCAGAGTGAAGGGAAGCAGTGGTCATCGTGATTATCAACCCTGCAAAGCAGCAGAGCTGTTTTGTCTCCCTGCCCCAGCTGTGAAGCAACTGCCTAGACCTCATGGAGTGCTCTCTGAGGAGCGGGACTGGAAGGTATCCCCACTGACTTGTTCTTCAGACTTTTTCCTGTTTTCCTCTTTCTGCATCCCAACTCTTTCCCCGGTGTCCTTGGCCTGCCTGTTACTCTTTGATTTCTAGGGCACCATGGGAGGAGAAGAAAGGACAAAGTGACACTGGGGGAAATTCCCAGCCTTGTCACATATGTGGCCCAGCCAGGCCCCTCCCACAGCCCCTTTGGAGTCCTGGGTCTCCCCTGCTCCAGCTTCTCTCCCTCTGCCCGCCTTGTCTTCAGACTAGGGTGTCCAAAAGGATTTGGGTGAGATCCAAACTTGCCCCTTGTCATCCTTCTGGAAGTGGGACTAGGTTGGGCAGTCTTGGCCCATCCCTCAGGAGGCAGACCTACCCAACTGGAACATTTCCTAATCTTGGGAAGCCCTAACAGGGCCCTGAGAGCAGTTGTCTTTCAGTCCTGCCCCCTCCCTCCCATGTCTTCACCCACATTCCAGCTTTCTAGGGCCCCCTCCTCATTCTCCCTCCATTCTTCTGCAGCCCAGAAGCGACTGTCAGATGTGGCCTGTACTCCTTGCCCCTCCTAGCCAGGGACTTCCCTGGGGTGGGCCTCTGACCAGCTTTGGAAATCTGGACTGTTTGTGATGAAACACCACTGTTCCAGCTCTTATCCCACTCAAAGGGCTCCAAGCTCTTGGTTAAAGGTTCACACAAAAAGGTTCAGGGGCCCTAGGAGCTAAGCAGACAGTAGAGAGGAGAAAGGTCCTTTTGCTCCAGTGATAAGGAAGATCCCAGCCTCCATTATGCTTCCCAGGGAGCTCCTCATCTTTACCTATCTGTCTTTTAGACTTCTAAAGTGCCCCCAATAACCTTGCTCTCAAAAACTCACATTCACACACATAGGTTGTGCACAGACACATTCTCACACATAAATGTAAACATGGTCACATATGTACACTCACACGGACCCACACATATACACTGTTGTGGGTCTGACACAAGTTCACAAACAGACATGTTTTCTTACAAATACATCCATGTTCATACTTGCAAATCTACTCCTTTTTGGGGTCGGCAGGGAATAAGACAAAATAGGCCTTTCTTTTCCTTTCCTTTGGAAAAGCTAGCAAAAACTGGAGAGAAAAAAAAATTGGCCAAAAAGTCAGGGCAGGAAGAGGAAATGAGATGGGGAGAAAAGTCTGAGGAAAGGAGGCCAGGCAAGGAGCAAAGGCCCAGACCCCAAGACCTGGGTGGGCAGAGCAAGCTGGACTGGGGAGCAGTGGACCCCAGCTGGCAGGAAAGAGGAGGCCAGGTGGCTCTTGGCACAGAGCTGGGAAGGTCTGGTGGTTTGGGCACCAGTGCCGGGAGTCCTCTCTCCTGTCTTGGCCCATCTACCCCTGGTCTGGGTCACTCACCTGGGTAAGAGCAGGAAAATCCGAGGGTGTGTACAGCGGGGGCTGCTGTCCCTGTGAAGGCTTCTCTGCTCACTGTGCTTCTGCAGGAAGGAGGGCTGGGCCGAGCTGACTTTTAGGCAGGAGGGGAATTCCCCACGATGGAGGAGCCAGCCGCCAGGCAGCCCCACAAGGCTCAGCTGAGGCCCCATCCTGCCCTCTGGCAAAGCACAGGGCCCTTCTCTGTCAGCCTCCACCTGTCAATTCCCAGACTGGCTGTCACTTGCTATGAATTCCAGGAGGGGAGGGAGTTCAGGAAATCTAATGATCCTTTGGCCAGGCTGGGAACAGGCACTGGCTCAGGGGCAGGGGCAGGGGTGACCTGCCCTGCCCTACCCTGCCCGGGTTCTCCTGAGGACTTCTATTTCCTCCTTTACCTAAGGTGGGGGATTCCAGTGCTCAAGCCCCTGAGGAAATTGCCAGATGTCCAGCCCACATCCTCTGGCCTTGTTCCCATTCCATCTGTTTCCACTTACTACCCTCTGTGGATCCTCCACAGAGAAGGAAGAGCCCACTCCTTCCCCCCTGCATGCTCCTTTCCTCCTTTCATTCAGATGTCAACAAAACCTAGAGATCTACAGCCCAAGAAGTAGTCCAGCTCTGCCTTTGCCAGCTGGAGATCTGAACAGTCACTTATCCTGAGCCTCAGTGATTCCCCACTGTAAAATGGGAACAATGAGTCCTGCTTTGCCTGACTTCTGCAATTGTAATTAAAGTAAAATGATGGTTTGCTGACATCCTTAAACATAGGTCTCCACTCACTAATCGTTGCAAAGATGCTTAGGAAGCAGAGGAGAGGGGGTCATCTGGGTGACCTGGGCTTTCCTAGTCATTCCTGGTTCCAGGGCTTTTTCATTCTTACAGCCACATTTATGGTCTGTTGGGGATACAGGAATGGACAAGTCAGACCCACTTTCTGCCTTCTCAAATAGACACTGGGATTGTCCTGTCCAATAAAGTAACCATTAGTCACACATGGATATTTAAATATAAATAAATTAAAATAGAATAAAAGTAATAATTCAGTTCCTCATCAGCACTGGCCACGTTTCAGATGCTTGATAGCTACCTCTGTCTACTATGTTAGACGACAGGTATATACAACACTTCTGTCATCATAGTAAGTTCTGTTGGATAGTATTGCTCTGGGCGCTATGGGCAAATGGATAAGCAATTAAAAAGAAGTAGGACAAAGATGTATTTGGGCTCATTCCAGAGGTTATGTGAGCCAGGAGAGAGGAGTGTCTGGTTGTGATTTGGGGATCTGGAAAGTCTTTCTGAGGGAAGTGACTTCTCAGCTGAGACCTGAAATTAGCCAATCAAAAGCATAAGTAAGAATATTCTCAATGAAGGGAATAGAATATGCAAAGAGGAGAGAGACTATATTCAGGAATCTGAAAATGGTTCATTCCAAGTGGATCATGGGACTTGAAGCAGACAAGAAGTAACATGGACCTGAAGAAATAGGCAGGGTTGGGTCACATGTGGCCCCTGGAGAAAAGCTGGAAGGGGATGGGCTGGGGAGGGGAGAGCCCACCGAATCCAGTCCTAACTGTTTTTATACCCTTTAGGTTGAGAATGCTGGAGAGACCTCCTAGATGAGGAAGTAAAGATCAGACAACAGGAAATGACTTCCCAAGTGAGTAAATGAGGAGCTTCCTGACTCCTAGTCTAGTGCTCTTTCCCATACCACACTCAGTCCCTTGTGACTGGCCACTTTTTAAGGGCTCACTAGCAACATGTAGGAGCAGCTATCATTCAGATTACACAGATATTTTCAATGTTGGGGAAGTTTTAGGTGAACCAATGGCACCAGTCCTTGAACTAGACCATGGGAAAAGGATGGCTTTGTTTCCCTGTGCATAGACCATTTTCTCTGCAGGGAGTAAAAATAAGTGTTATGCAGTCCTGATGTTCCTGGATCATGATACTCTCTCCATATATGAGGTCATATAATAGACCCTCTGTGAGTTCATATGGAGCCTGACTGGGAGCAGTTCCTGCCCATGGAGTCTTAAAGGGCAGAGGGACCTTGAAGGGCTAAGCAGATCCAAGAAGCTGGACCAGTATGAACAGGGATCACTGGTTAGGAGTGCTTGGCTTGCACGTCCTGGGGAAGATCAGCTTGGGCTCTCCCTGATGAAATGCTGAGAACATGGAATAGACACTATGAAAGAAGAGGTCCTTGTATGGGCGTTGAAGAGCTGACTTTGGGTCCTTGCTCCTCTTTGTAACTTTCCCTCGCAGGTCCTCAGCTTTTGCTTCTATGACAGGAAGGAATCAGACTGGAGGATCACTAAGGGACCATCCATTCTGATAAGGAAGGAAGTCCAAAGGTTCAGATGGAGAAGAAATCAGGGTGGGCCACAGAGGGTCAGGAAATACCACTGATGGTTAATATTTAAGATGATCATGTGCCAGGCATAGTACTAAGTATTCTTACATGAATTATTTTATGAATGACTCCTATGAGACTAGTACTGCTATTTTATGAATGAGAAAACTGAGCCTTCTAGTGACTTGTAATGGCCAACTGCCAATAAATGGTACAGCTAGAATTTAATCAAACTCAAATACAGTAGGCCCTCCATGTTTGTGGGTTCCGTATCTGTGGTTTCAACCAACTACAAATGGAAAACATTCAGAAGAAAATTGTGTCTATACCAAACAAGTACAGATTTCTTTCTTGTAATCATCCAAACAATACACTGTAACTATTTACAGAGTGTTTGCATTGTATGAGGCATTATAAGTACTCTAGAGGTGATTCAAAGTATCCAGGAGGATGTGAACAGGTTATAATGCAAACACTGTCTTTTTATATGAGGAATGTGAGCATCCCTGGATTTTGGTTTAAGAGGGGGTTCTTGGAACCAATCCTCTGGGGATTGCCTTGGATTTGGCAGATTTCTGTGCCCTACCATAGACCCAAGAAATCAGACTCTTGGGAGGAGGGAAGGTAGAGTCTTAGAGGCAGCGTTTTTAATAAATTCCCAGGGGATGCCCCTGTCACATGTTAGAGTTTGAGAAGCCCAAGCTTCCTGAGCAAGGTTTCCAGTGCCAAAAGCAAAGATTTTCGCTCATATATAGGTAGCCAGGGAGAACCAGTAGAGGTACCAAATATGCTTTTACATGGCTGAGTCACCCAAGCATCCATGGCTTTTGAAAACTCCCACACAAGCTAATAAAATTGTCTCCCTATCTGAATTTTGAGGACAGGCCACTACGAGAGGCCATAGGATCACACAGTTTCAGATGTCTACTGGCTCAACAGTCCACCCACAGCAAGTGTGTTCTCATCATTGGCAGGTGGTCATCCAGGTTCTATAAATATACTTCCAATGATGGGGTGGGGGTGCTCACTACCTCACAGATGGCCCAGTCAGCATTCAATCATAAAGCTCAGCTCTGACTCCTTTGGATGGCTGCCATCATAGTTGACAAACTCCTATAAGGCCCTTTGTGCTCCTGCATTTATACTCCATCCCTACTCCACCATAGCTATACTGGGTGCTTTTGGCTCCCAACATGTGCCCTGGCATCTGGCTGCAGCACTCTTCAATCTACTGTGCCTTTCATGTGGTTAATGTTAATCTCAAATATTTCTCCTTTGGAAAGTTTGCCTGGCCTTCCCTACCCTGATGACTTCCCTCCGGATGACAGCAGGATCCTTGCTCTGCACTTTCAGTCCTCTTATTCTCTCTCCCTGCAACTGTAATAAAATGATCATTGGTTTGTTTAGTATCTTACCAGAGCAATAGTTCTCATTCAGGGGGGATGTTGCCACCCACAAGATATCTGGGATGTTAGGAGATATTTTTGGTTGTCTCAAATGGGGAAGGGTATGCTCCTGGCATTTAGTAGGCAGAGGCCAGGGATGCTTCTAAACAGCTTACCTTTCAAGTGACAGATTCCCACAGCAAAGGATTATCTGGATCAACATGTCCATAGTGTTGTGAAACCCTGGCTGGTGTAAGCCCCAGGTGACCAGGAACTGTCACTACCTCTCAAGTGCCTCACACACAGTAGACAGAAAATGAATGCTTGTGGAATGAAGGAGGAGAGGAGGGACAGAGAAGGAAATGAACTACAAATGTGGCTGTAATATGCAGTGTTCCTGATGTTGGGAAGAGTGGCAAACTGGGGAGACAGGCAATAAGAGGTGAGAGTGGGTGGAGAGTAGAGACAGACCTCTGAAGTCATGAACACTAGGTTAAAGAGCTTTGCCATCAGCCAAGCATGATGGCACATCTTGTAATTCCACTGACTCAGGAGGCTGAGGCAGGAGGAACATGAGTTTAAAGCCAGTCTCAGCAATTTAATGAGGCCCTAAGCAACTCAGTGAGACCCTGTCTCTAAATAAAATATAAAAATGGGCTAGGGATGTGACTCAGTGGTTATGAACCCCCAGGTTCAATCCTTGGTACTATTAGGAAGAGATTGAAGAAAATGAAAAGTACATCCTGAGAAAGAGGATTTGACTGGTTAGTAACAGAGTTGTGTCTTGAATCCACAAAATATGCCTCCCTATTTTATTGATATAGCCTAATTCAAAAAACTGAAGAGCTGGAGGCAGTTTTTCTTTTTCTTTTTTCTTTTTTTTAAAGAGAGAGTGAGAGAGGAGAGAGAGAGAGAGAGAGAGAGAGAGAGAGAGAGAGAGAGAGAGAGAGAATTTTTAATATTTATTTTTTAGTTCTCGGCGGACACAACATCTTGGTTGGTATGTGGTGCTAGGATCGAACACGGGCCGCACGCATGCCAGGCAAACGTGCTACCGATTGAGCCACATCCCCAGCCCTTTTCTTTAAAATGTGAATAGATGGACAGATATTAAAAAATATGCTGTCTATGTGCATCTGCTAGGTACCAGGACCACTGCTGTTTCTGACTCATCCTGTGACCTCAGCAGTGACTTCCTCTCTGTCCCTCACCTTCCTCATCTATGAAAGAAAGTAAATTCTTTTTACTCCTTTATGGCACTGGGAATAACTGTGTGCAGGAAAGGGAAACTCATTATAATAATTTCTAAAGATATTACTGGCCAGGGGGTTATCAGTTTTAATGTCCTTCAGATTTTCTGATCCCTTTGGTCTTAGGTGGGGCCTACATCAGCAGTACTCAGTCATGCTTCACATTCAAGTCACCTGGGGAGTTTGTGAAAATACAGATGCCCAGGCCCCACCCCAGACTAATTATTTCAGAATCTCTGGGGGTGTGGCCTGGGCATAAGTATTTATAAAGCTTCCCAGGTGATTCTAAGGTGTAAAATTGTGACTTTGCCTTAGGAGCTGTCCTTTTAATGGTTGTTTTTGATGTAGGTAGTCTTAGGAACTCATTATCCCAGGGTCCCTGTGGTCCCCCAACTTGACCCCCTTTGTACCAGAGAAGGTACCTTCTAGAATCAGGTCAGAAACTGCGATGACAACAAATCTTAGAATCTGGAGAGAAGAAGGCTCTATCCCCCATTTTTTTCTGGGTCATAGAAGATTATGCATAGTGAAGCAAAAGGCAAAATCAAAACTCCAACAGAGTCACTAAGACGAAACGGGGCTCATGTAATTCTATCAACATTTGGAAAATGGGATTCAGGAATGAATTTTGCAAAACTGTGTTTTCCAAGGAAACAGACACAGGGTGGTTTGTTGCAAGATATTTGTCAGAGGAAAAGGATCCAAGAACAAATGTTGCAAGACTGTGCTGCTAAAGGAAGTGACTTCTTAGTCCATCAGATCTGGGACAAAGCTTAGAGATTATCTTGATCAATCTTCTCATTGGACAGAAGGGAAAACTAAGGCCCAGGGAAGAGAAGGCAAGTGTCCAGAGTCAGGCAGGGAATTGTTGATGAACTAGCTCTACAGTTCTGGCTTCCTGACCAACTCCTTCCTGCTGCCCTTTCCTCTACTCCTTAAGTACATATCTGATACCCACTGTTTTGCTCCAGGTCCTTAGACTGCCTCTATACCCCTACCCTCTGGACAGCACCCAAGGTCAAAGGATGAGACTAAATCTATTTGCCTGGATCTCACCTGCCAGACAACAGGGGCTGGAACCAGAGGGTGGCTGGGGGCAGCCAGAGAGGAAGGAGCAGTCTGATGATGTGGCCTAACCTCAGAAAGGAAGCCTGGTCACCAGAGGGAAATTCCCCGGGTGAGGTCTCTTGTCTATGCAAATATTGCACTTCAACTAGCTTGAACTCCAGGATGGGAGAGGGAGAAGAGGAGAGAGGACACCGGGAAGGACAAAGAGGGTAACAGGTGCTGAGCACTCCAAGACCTGGCATTGTGCCAGGCTCCTCATGGGTTTCACCTCATCTTGTCCCTAAAGTATGCTCCAATGTGGGAAAATTGGGAGCCTGAGGCCCAGTGACATGGTGCGTTGCCCAGGAAAACGCAGCATATTCCCATGTCCCAAGGAGATCAGGGCTCAGGGGGAGGTGATGATGACTATGATAATGTAATCAGCACTGCTGACAGTGATGAGGCCTGAGTCCCAGAAGTCTAGCAAAGTTTCATTTTAGGTTTCTATCTCACTCACTAAGGGAATTGTTTCTTGGGAAGAGGCAAAAAGCAGAGGGCAGGTAGTGACCCTGACTCACCTTGGGCAAATCCCAACACTCTGGTTGTTTTTTTTTTTTTTTTT